CATACATTTACTTAGAAATTGTATAACCTAACAAGACACACCACATTTGATTCTTATTTCTGATTTTAGAATGAGAAGGGAATATCAGATTAGCTAGTTAGGTTCTTTTAAAAATTTGACTTTGGCCGTTGGGAAGTGTGATAAGTTATTTAAGCTGTTGAATGGAAAAGTAATGACCTGATATGCAAACACCCACCTAATTCATAATAAAAAGTTTGGGGGACCTGATTTTACTTCAGAATTGTCTGGGACATTTGTATACAGATTCCTAGGCTCATTTCCCTAAGGAAATTTTAATTCAGTAGATCTAGAATAGCAACCCCAGAAGAATATGGTTTTAAAAATCTCCCCAGATAAAAGTCATGATCAATAGTAATGAGTAATCTTCTTACTAGAAAGAACTAGAACAGTAGACAAAATACATAGAACAATAATTTTCAAACACTAGTACAGCCCTGTGATATGTAAAAAGGGAGGGAACCATAAGATATAAATCCTGTTCATTCCAGCTTTCTGCCTGTGTCAAAGAAGGTGAGACCAAGCAGAGAACGGGCCTCATAAGCTAAGGAAAAAGAGAACAGAATTTGGAGAAATTGATGTGGCAAAATTTTGTGGGGTAAAGTACGGATAAAAGATGTGGGAGAAAAGGTCCAGAAAATTGCAAATGGATATCCTGAAATATTTGGCTTGAAATTATGCCCCACACAGGGTAAACCTCTACAAGTAAGGAAAAGAATAACTGCTACAGAAAAAAACATTGCCAAGGAGCTCTAAACCTATCTATTGACACGCTCAGTACAACAGGGAAACATTCAAGACCCAGCAAATCAGAGTAAAGAGATCAGATTACATACCTGCAGCATTCAACAGCAATAACCAGAAAACCCACACCTTATGAGTAGTGCTAAATCAGTCCTAAATAATAATAATAATAATGTAATTCTAGAACTTTCCTGACAGGAATGAAAACCACACTTTGAAAATTGATTTCCAAGCAAATTAACTGCCTGTACAACAGAACTCAATATTTTTTCAGAAGGAGACACTACATCCAGAAACTTAATATAACATGCATCCAGGCACATGCTTTAAAGAATTACTAGACATACAAAGGAGTGAGATGTTTCTGAAAACAAAAAGGCACTTAGAAATGGCAAAGATGATAAAATTGGTAACAAAGGATTATACAGCATTCATTACAGGTATGCTAGAGTTAAAAAAATAATAACATGAAAATTATAAAAATAAACCAAATGGGACTTCCAGAGATAAAATATACAGTATCTGCAATGAAAAATTAACTTAGATGTACCTAACTTCAGATTAGTCTCTGTAAGCAAAAAACAAATAAACTTGAAGAAAAAAAAAAACAATAGAAAATACCCAAACCAAAACATAGACTTTAGAAAAAGGATGGGGGAATGGGATGGGATTTAAAAAGCAAAACAAAAACAGGCTCAGTGACCTGTGGGACCGTATCAATCTAATATCTTTACAATTGCACTCCTAGAAAGAAAGAGAGCCCCCGCCCCCAGCATTTTTGTAGTAGCTGAGATTTTTACATATTTGATAAAAATTGTAAGGATTAAGAATGTCTTCATTTCCTCCTAAGAAATAATATTGGAGAATACAAGAAATGGTCTTTTTGTTCTTAAAAAGGAATTAAATCTATCCTTCCTACATGTACATCTACTTAGAAATCTCATACCCTAAAAAGACACTACATTTGATTTTTACTTCTGATTTTAGAATGAGAAGGGA